CTCCCGGGCGGCGTGTGTAGAAACTGCGGCCCTTCCAAAGGCCCGTGTCTGGAAGTCGCCCTGGGCCTCCGCCGCCGTAGAGGGGAAGCCAACGGGCGCCTGTGGAAAGGTTCCTGCCGTTCAGGTTCCTCTCGCTCCAGACATTTCTCTCTTCTCAAATCAGACCCTGGGTTTCAGATGCAAGGTTCTGTTTAGGAAGAGAATTTTTTTTTTCCTTTTTAGAAAAATGGAAAATTCCTTCACCGTCCCAGCTCCATGCCTGGTATTAGGAGAGAAAACGGCGGGGCGGTCGGCTGCCGAGGGAGGGCAGGGAGACGGGGCAGGTGGGCGAGGGTCAGGGGGCACAGGGAGCCCTGGAGAGAGGGCCTGGGGCAATTCTCGGCTGCAGCCCCCGTGACACGGATCCTGGATCAAAACAGCAACCGCCCCTGTGCCCGCACAGGACCCACAGATCCCGGCGGGTGTTCGGCGCCCAGCGGCCCTCACATCCCTGGCCACGCCGGTCTTACCCGGCATCCGTGCAACACCTCCCAAGTTCACTTCTGGTCGTAACCCTCCCTCTAAAGTTACTGTGTCCAGCACCCCCCCCCGGGCTCCTTAGAGTAACACCCAAGATGCCCCCCAGGCGCCTTCACACGTAACGTCCGAGCTTCCCCCTCGCCTCCCGACGCTTCCCTTTCTCTTTCCTTCTGCTCTTCTCTCTTCGAGGCTTAAAAGACAGCCTTTCAGTTTTTCAACATGAATCTATTTAAGCCACATAATGTTAAGAGAAAGATGCTATTTTTTTAAGTCTTATTTTACAGATGAGAAAACTGATATTAAGCAAGTTTAACTACCTTGTCCAACATAACTCCAAAGCTGTCCTAGTGAAGCTCTCATTAATATTTCTACTAGTTATTTATAAGCGTGTCCTTAAAGCCACCAAGCTCAATGTTGCTGGATACCGTATACATCCAAGTACCAATACTTAGCAGGCAGTTGGACACGTGTATCTTGATTTCAAGGGAAGTGTTTGAGCTACAAATAAAGTGTGGATCTAGTCATGGGACAGAGCGGGGTTACCTATGGTTGACAGAGGTAGAGAGTAGAGAGGATATTAAACCCAGAGGCAGTGCTCCCCAGGTTTCACAGTATTGCTTTTGGATTCTTGATCTGTTTCTTACGCATTAGTGTCATCGCGGATAGGGTGCTTAGTTCCCAAAAATTAAATCGCGAGAGGCAGAATGTTAGAAGTGCTAAGAGCATCGATTTCCAACTCGGCCATGAAGGGAAGGTGAACCAGTTCCGTAAATGTTCTGAATATCATTTTTCTCACCCCCCAAAGTGGAGAAATTATAACTACTTCAGAAGGTTTTGAGTTTTTATAGGAATTATTATTTGAAGTAATATTTAGTGAATTAATGGCATCCAGTAAGTCCCTTATAAGTTTTATT